ATTGTTATGTATTCTTTTTTTCATTTATTCAATAAATTCAAATATAAACAATTAGTTATTTTTCAAAATTTAAAATAACAAGATTTGAATTTAAAGACAATACTGAAAATAAGAATCAAATACTATGAAAATAAGAATCAAATACTATTAAATATTTAAAGATTTAAAATTTTAATTATATTTTTTACACTCGAACATGCCATTATTGCATATACTTTAATTGAATAGTGATATAATTTGAATTATTAAACGCAAAAAGTATTGATTTTGTGATATATTCTTAATTTTGAGTTGAAAAATATAATTTCAAGTTTTGTTATTTTCAATTTTTTAAAATTATCTATTTTTTTATTTTATAGAATAAAATTAGAAAATGTATTAACTATTAAAAACATATGGTCTAATGAAATTTATAATTTGAGTTCTAAAAGTCTATGACTTTTATTTCTATTAGTTTCATTTTATTAACTAGAGTAACTAGTTTTTAAAGCATTTGCATCGCATGGGTTCTTATTCAACTTTTTTCACATAATAAATTAATTTTATTCATAATCAACTTTATGGTGACAATTTTTTTAAGTAATTCAAGTTATTTTTATGCACTGAATTGTAGTCCAAAGTGATTCTTAAAATTAATTGATTTAGAGTTTGACCAATCGGAGCATTTTTTTAGTTAAGTAATAGTTTTGAAAAATAAAATGAATTGAATGTACCAAAAAATAAAATAAAATGAATTGTGGTTAATATTTTTAAATCATCTATTTTAGGTTACAAAAGTTAAAACATGTGTAACAATAAGTTGAAAAATTATGATTGTAGTCCACAATATAAAAAGCTATATGGTGATGATGATAATTATAATCTAGAATCTATTTATTTTTCCTTTAGTTAACTTTTACAATAGTTATCTATTTCACACTTCCTTTATTCTTGTATCTACTTCTAGTTTTTTGGTTTTTTCAACACTATTTTACATCTCCATTAAACTTTTCTTGCATACTACTTAATAAATTTCCCTATGATTCACATTGAGTCACCATCTACCTCTTTATGTTATTATTTATCTCTGTCTATCTCACTTTTTGCTAGCTTTTTTCTATCTATATTAAAATATTAGAATTGTTTTACGCCTACGCATAGATACTGCTTTCTAAATTTATTTTATAATATTTCTCCTTTATTTTAAATCAGTCTCACTTTATCTTTTTTGTATGGTGTACATTGTAGGGGTGGGGGTTCAAACCCCAACCTAAAAATTAAGAGATGCACATTTTAAATATTGTGGGGGTAGAGGTTCGAACCCCAACCTAAGAACTAAGAGATGTACTTAAAGCCAACATGCCATTAGCCCCAAGTGTAATCAGTCTCGCTTTATTTGATGCTGTGATCTATTCAAACTCAAATACATTTAGGGATAAATCAAAGAAAATTTAAGAAATTTAAGAGAAAGAAGGTGTCAGTGATGACAGCAGCAACACGTAATGCAATTTGGGGTTAGGGTTCAACCCTGGCCTTTTATTTTTCTAACTCAGTCGGAGTAAAATATCGTTTTGTTAATTCTTCCCATTTGGTTATCATCTTTTGCACAAGTTTCCATCAATTTGGTTCTACAATATGCAATTCACAATTTCAAAGTCTTAACTTTTTACAACCAAGTTCAAATTGTTTTATTTTATTTTTTTCATCCAATTAGTTTCCTTTTTTTTTTTTCGAAAATTGAATTTATACAAAATTAACTTTAAATGAAACTCTGAGAAAGATTTAAATGAATACTTAGTCAAAATCTAGTTATGACAGCTTTTGAAAACCTGGGGATCCTAATTCAAAGAGTTTTTATACTAATAACAAGTTGCGACCCTAATCATTTTAATTAGTATTATAGCAGTGATATTTTGCAAATGTGGGCTTATACTAACCATCATAGCTAATAGTAGAGTGCATCTCATATCACTCAAGGTGATTCTCATCCTTGTGGGCCACATGACCTTATTCTAATTGTAATTGGGTTTAATAAGGATATCAAGTGTTTAAGTAGTGAAAATTATGATGCCTCAAATCTCGCATTGGAATAGAAGTGTTAGTATAAGTGTTGGGTGGTGTATATATATGGAAACAACTATTACTAACACTTTAAGGTTAAATTTTTAAGAGTTCGTAAGCTTTGATCTGAAGAGTTATTTGATCAGTGTCATTGTAAGTTTTAACCTAGTCATTTCACAAGTGTCTTATTATATATGACTTCCGGTCAAATTTAATTCTCATTATTTAACTTTTAGATAAAATTTAATCAAATAAATTTATATAATAAATAAATAAAAATTAAAAAAAATTTTATACATAATTTTTATTAGATATTTTCATTTAGATCAAAAAATATTTCCACTCATAATTCATTTACTATATAAAATTATCAAATCAATTTATATACAATTGAGAGACTGGACAGTTAAAAAAAGACCAAGAGGAGTTAAATTTTCAACATTGATTCACAAATAAAATATTTTTACTTACCAATTTCACATTTTCTTTATACTTTTATCAACCTTTTGTTCTTTTTTTTTTTAAATTTTTATAACACTATTTTACACATCCATTATGTCTATGTCTTATTCTTTGTTATTATTTTAGTAGTATTTTACACATTCTTTATATCGATAATCCACCTCTTTTTTTTTTTAGATGAATTAAAATTTTATTATAAAATTGAGTATAAGGGGTACTCTCCCATAGACATGATTAGAATGAAAGAAAAAGGGAAAAGGTTAAGTCTCCTTAGAGCACAGCATTGGAAATTGACACCAATCCCTAAAGGAAAATGCAGCAGAGGTGGAGATCCCTTTAATCCATTCAAAGGTTTTTGACTGAACAAGGTCAGCGAGGTTGTTTTCATCCCATGTCATGGATTTGAAAATCACGCCATTCCTAGAGTACCAGATGAGCCATGCAGTTGCTAAGACAATAGGGATCCAACAGTTCCGTGCCTTTTTTGAGTCAGGAAGTGAACAAAGTTGAAGAATAACCAAGGAGGCATTATCAGGAGGGACGAATGAGAACCCCCACCAAAGACAGATTTTGCTCCAAAATAGTCATAGCAACCAAAATAGGTTCTCTTATTTTGATACACCAAAAAGTTAACGTTCTTATTCATTTACTATCACACATTAAAAAACACTCCAAATTTACTTCTTTATCTACTCTAATATTGTTTTTATTTTCCTAATCAAAATTCACAAGATATAAATTAACTTTTCTAAACTAACTTGAAATACTCTTACTAACAAAAGGACAATGTTGCAACAATTATATATAATTTAATTGTTACACATTCAAAGGCATCTTAGACTCCACTATGCGATGTAAACATAATGATTATTCCTCTATCATATCCCCTCCGCTTTGCCAACCTTGCCACCTCCCTGATGTCATTGGTTAAAGAGATGTCTTGAACTAAATAGGTACAATTACAATCCTCACTCTCTAGAGATAGTAATTCCCTTGTTGAAGGACACTTTCAAGTTCCAACTTTCTCCAAGAAAGAACTTACAATAGCAACAACCTTATCTTCAATGGTTAGTTGACAATTATCTCATTTTTTTTTAAATGGATAAAGCATGCTACCCTATTAAAATTTGTTAAAATTTGAACCAAAGTGAATTTAGCAACAAACAAAAAAATGCTAGCGTGGTTTACGACAAACACTTTTATGAAGATTCTTACAAAAATATAGTTATCGGTAAGTTGAAACTTATTTAAGAAAAAAATTGAATCTAATTTAGAAATCTTATTTAATTTCATATAAATAAAAATAAAAATTCTTAAATTTATTTAACCCAAAAATTTAAGTTCTAAGAGTAACACAAGTATGACTTTAATGAAATAAAAATTCGGGTTTATCTTTCTTCTTCCAAGTCTTATCGTAAATTCCTTCCTCAAATCTCCTCAAATCTTGCATGAGTAACTACTTTTGTATTTTCTATGACTATTTTTTGCTCTATCATTCCTTAAGTTATGGCACAAAATGTCCAAAGCTATTGAAATATCTGGTTAATCCTTATAATCTACACAGTAACTTGTGCTCAACTACCAAACCAAGAATTACCCAAAGTTTGAAAGGTACAAATGAATACTGGAAAGCATGCTAACATATCTATTATGCTCCTTGCATTCCTTCCTCGCCTTCTTTGTATAATATTGCTAGTTCTTAATAGGCTTTCTTCTTTGACTTTCCTCCTTGATTACATCATCATCAGCCAAAAAAAAAAAATAATTCAAAATGAATTGAACAATAAAAGCCTGAAGTCATTTCGCTGGTAAGCCAGACAAAGGATCTGTTATAACCGATGCCTCTTCTTTCCTTGTTCTGACCTGAATGTCATCTTTTTTTCAATATTTAAACCAAATTTGAATACTTAGAAGAATATGTTTTGGAGAGCTTTCCCACCAAATCTAATGGAGCTTTTCCAATTAATGAAGCCTTATTAATCCTTATATATGAATATAAATATATGACTCCTATTAAAAGTAAGAGTGTTCGCGGTGTGGTTTGGTTCGGATTTTATTATTTTTTTAACCAATCCAATTTAATCTGTTAATAAAATTTTTAAACCAATCCAATCCATTATTATGTGATAACCAAACCAATCCAATTTAAATCGGATCGGTGTGGTTCGGTCGGATTGATCGGTTTTTAATATTATTAAATATATAAGATAATGTAAAAATATATTAATATCAAATAGAAAGTATAACTATAAAATACATTAACATTCAAATCAATAAAAATATAATAAAAGGTAAAAATTATAAACGAATTCTTATACTCTACATTTGTAAAAATTGAAAAACTTTGAAAATTCTTCTTCGTTATATCACTAGAGACACCAAAAACAATAAAAAATAATTTCAAATTTCTAGCACAGCGTAAATAATCTTGAAGGTTAAAATTAATTTTTTTAATACACTAATAATTTAATCACATTTTCTAAATTCTGTTAAAAATGAATAACATTTAACATGAATATTACTAAAATTGATGAGAAGTATTCAAGATCAAAATTTAAAACTTCTAAACCAAATATCTAAGAATAGTTGAATATTAAAACTAATTTTATTATATGGTTTTAAGGCTTTTAGAATAATACTTATTTAAAACTTAGTTAGGAAAATCATAAGATTATTTTAAGAATAAATTAGAAATTTAAGGTTCTAAGAGTAAAGGCGCAAACCAGTTCTGAGAGGATAGATTTGCAGGTGAATTAAAAATTTAGAATTAAAGTTAGAGTGTATGATTAAAATAGAGAAATAACTTAGGGAATATGGAGATGTTTTATTCTTATTTTTTTAATTAAGTTAATGGAGTTATAATCTTGTAAAATAAGAAAAAAAAATTTAAAATACTACAAAAAATATGTTATATTATTTACTTAAATTATCTTCTAATCAGATTTTATTTTGTAATCGGGTAGTTCGGGCGGTTTGAAAGTAAAACCACAAACCAAACCAATTATATCGGTTTTAAAATTTTAGAATTCAAACCAACCCAATTTTATATCGGTTTGGATCGATTTTTGATTGGATCGGATCAGTTTAGGTCGGATCAATCGGATTGGATCGGATATGAACACCCCTAATTAAAAGCAAGAAAAAAAGGTATTGATGCCCCCTGACCTGACAGTCATCACCCAGTATAATCAAGCTCCATAGATGTCCAATCATAGGTACCAAATAATAACCGAAATGAGAGCTACAAATCTTAATAATTTGTTTAAGTAGGAATGCCATGAAGTCTTAAATTATTTGTCCAGTAGGGTCAGGCTGAGCGTTCTCCTCAAACTGAAAAATTATATTATATCACAGTAATGCAGTTGCTGAAGCTTAATTTCCTGTGATTTAGTGGGACTATCTCCTCTACAGCTAGTTCTTCGCTTTGTTTAGGCATTGAAGAGATTATATACCAAACTTTTCCTCAAATAAGTAAAGAAGCAAATTGCATTTACCTTATATTTTACCCTTCTTTAATTTCTTTCTATTTTAAAGCAAATTGAAGAAATTAAAAGGCAGCAGAATATACACGTCCCTATGCTTATCTGCTTTTCTATTGAATAATTTTCTGCAACATTAAAAATATAATGCATGATTTAGGCATGTTTGATCATTTCATTACCTGAAAGGTTTTATTAGTCACTCTAATATTTCTAAATCCTTCTTCATTAGGATTCTTGGCAACATTCCTGATGCATGTACAAACTGCAATGTTCTCTTTACTCCGACATCATCATCCTAATTCAGTGGAAAAAAAAGTTAGATCTTATCCAAATTCCAAAACATCAGGAAGTGCTATAAAACTTTTCACAATTGACACTTGGACATTATTTTCTATTTTGAGACCACTAATACAAATAGTAGAGGACTTAAATCCAAAAGAAAGCATCACTTATAAGATAGGACAGTATAAAACAATAAATAAATTCGCAGAATTGTAGTAGTATGTTTCTATAATATTGAACATGCTCTCAAGAATTTTGCTTTGCAATTTATTTCTTCAAAATGGATGATAAGAAACATAGTATGAAATTAGAATGCTAACAATATTTAAACATAAGGAAAAAAATACAATTAAATGTGCAATCCAACCTAAACAACAACCCACCCCCCCCACCCCCCCAAAAAAAAGAAAGGGAGATCAGGTCTGCCTATGAAAACAAATAGAAAAAAAGGGTGCCACCATATCCTACCTTTCTTCTTCCACCCTCCATTTCAGCACTGCTACCCAAACTGTGCAACTCTTTCAACCATGTGAAAACCAAGTTTGGAGGGGGAATTTTGTATTTAAAGAGTTGCATAACTAGCATCCAAAACATGTCTTTCTTTGGATGGGTGTAAGAGTTGGGATCTCTAGCACAGTTCTCGAAAGCCCTCAATAATCTTTTTGCCTCTTTCTGCTTTTTCCGGTTTGGATTCTTTGAGTTCTTTAAGTTCAGCTTCCAATTCATCCTATATTAGTGGAAGTCAATGAATAAATTATCAACTTTTTTCCACTGGAAAATGTGATTTCAAAGTAAAAATTTGAAATAGCAGTACCTCATCAAAATAAGTTGTTAATCCAATTAGTGCTGACAATGCTTTCTCTAATGTTCTTAGATTGCTGCAGGATTTCATCCATTTTCTTATCTATTTTATAGCTGACCCTGAAAAATTGTCCAATTAAATCCTAGAAAATAGTTAATTCTGCAGAACTCAACTTAAATTGCTCAGGATCTCATCCTCAGTAGTTCATTTAGTCATCAGGCATGAGTTTCCCAGCTAAGGGTTCCACTAAAATTATTTTCCTTCTTTTTCCTTCTTAGGCTGGGATTAAAGTTTGACTCCACAACAAGAGTAGGGAAAACACTAAAGGGGTTATCAATGTTCCCATCTCCTCTCTCAGCCCCCCTACCCCCCACCCCCCCACAAAAGAAAAAATGTTCTCACCTCCTCTCTTTGAAGGAAAAGCACAACAATCTTACATCTAAGGTCTTCAACTTATTCATAACATGTCTAAATTGTGCAACAGGATCAAGCCTCAATGCACATGGAAGAACCCAGAAACTGCATGAGAAAAGCTAATTTGAGGCAGCACTATAGTAACATTGAATAATTTCTAAATTCTAAGCAGTATACAATGAACTTTAGGCAAGATAAAAATATAAAAAGCCATTGAGTGCAGCTTCAAGGGAGCATGGCAGATATATTGTAAGGTTTTAGGAATATAAACTACTTCCCTAGGGGATGTTCCCAATGGTTAAGAGAGCTTGAATCTCCATATTGGAGATCTCAAGTTGAAATCTTGGGATTGGTGGGGAGAGGTTTGGGAACAGGAGGGCTATCCCTAATGACCCATCATCTGATATACCAAATATATATATATATATATATATATATATAAAAGAACTGTCTTTGCCCTCACAAAAATAACTCAATTACCAAGATTCAACAATTTATACCCTTCTTTTACCAGACTCAGCAATACATTCTCCTAATCTATTATAATAAAAAAGTTATAAGGCATACTTATTAATCCTTTTAAGAACCTAAGATGCAGAACATATTATAAACACATATCCTCAAAACCAAATGCATCAACATTCATAAAAAACATAGCAACAGAGATGAAAATAACCCCATTTCTATGCATTACTTAAAACAGTATCTCATGTTTAAGAAACATATTTATTATGTTTCCTTAAACTAATATCCTCCAAAACAAGTAAACAATCTTTATCTAAAGTTTTGAATTAACAGAATGCAAAATAAAAGTCAAAGGAAAAATAAATCAAAGAGACCTCAAATCTTAGCCATCAAGCTGCAGACTGAAATTTCTGTAACAAATCACAATGGGGTGTCTCACGAATAAAGCCCCACTGTTGCCGCTGCAGCTCAAACCGACAGTTTTGTGCCAACACTTGGAAATAATCCGTGTCAACACGCTCCTCAAGCCGTAGACGCTCATGACTGTTACTAGGGTAATACTCCTCAAACTTTGTTGACCTCACATAATAATTCACTCCCTTTTGCGTTGTGAATTTGTACTGATAAGGGTGTGAGCGAGACAGTGAATAAACTGGCTCCGAAGACGGCAAAAAGTTCAAAAGGAGAATGAGTAACACCGGTAATAACTGAATCAGTGCGCGAATGTTGAAACCACCAGAGCCATTATCGCCCATTCTTGCTCCCATCCCAGGCCCAAAATTAAAGCTGCGGAAATGGGTAGTTGCAGGTGGCATTCCTCCAAAGAAGAAATTTCTAAATACCTCATCAGCATCAAAATCAGCTTCATAAAACCCATTAAATGATTGAGCTCCATGATACCTTGAAGCCTGCCTCTCATATACCGGCTCATCAGATCCCACAAGGTCATATTTCTTCCTACTCTCTTCATTGCTGAGACATTGAAACGCTTTAGAAACTGCCTTGAATGCCTCCTCAGCTCCGGGGGCTTTGTTCTTGTCAGGATGAACCTTCAGAGACAGTTTCCGATAGGCCTTTCGAACATCCTCCACAGAACATGACTTCTCCAATCCTAATATCTCATAATAATCCTTCTTCTTCTTGATCTCCCTCACAATTGTTATTTGCTCTTCTGTATAAACAGAAGCTGATGATGGAGACGAAGATGAAGACCCGATTGATGTATTCCTCTGCCGAATTGAAGGTTGATCGGATGGCTTAGAGGAAGTGGAACCAGATGCGTCGTCTTTGGTCGACCCAGAAGAATTTGGCACCGATTGATCATCAGAATCCTTTCCAACCGCTACCAATAGATCATCAACGGCAAGACTGGGGTCAAGGCGGCGAGCTTTAGTGAGGAACTTGAGAGCACGAGCCTGATCCCCAGCGTCCAACGCTTCTTTGCCGATTTTCAAGCATTTCAAAGCATCATCTTTGTTCCCGTCCATGATTAAACAAGTAGCCACCAAATAAATAGAAAACTAAGGAAAGGAGGAAAACAGAAGAATTTACTACCGGAAATTGAACGGATCTCTGTAGCTTGTCGGGCCTGAAGAACGGAATTGGAACGCTAGAGCTCAGATCCCATAAACGCAATCGCCGCCGATCAAACTTGCCTGGATTGGTCTGGTGGAGATGGCAATCAGAAAGTCAGCCGGAAGGATCAGCGCCGGCCAGGAAAGCAGGAGGTTTTCGAGAGGGAGAGAGAACCAGGAGCGGAGATGGCGAGTGCAATCGGTATTCTAGATGAACATGATCGGAGATGGAATTTTTTTCCCAGAAAGAAAAAACGACTTCTGGGGAGAGGATCTTTAGGTGAGGGGAAGTTTCGGAACCCTTGATTGACTTCTATCCAACGGCTAAGATGTATTTGGCGTGGAATGCCATTTCAATCTTACCCTTACGCCGTCAGATTAAAAATAATCCAAACGACAGATATCTGGTCGGGGCCGTCTGGCCCATTTTAATCATTTTCCTTTTTTACAACATTAAGCCCCTCAAGTTGAAACCATTGGAACTACTAGTCCTCTGTCTTTTCAATAAAGTCCTTATTTCTTTGCAAATTAGACTTTCAACTTCTAATCTTCACGGTTAAGTCCTGTTTCCTTCTTTTTCCTCTTTCAATTTTGATTTTAACTTTTTATTTTGTACAATTGAATCCGTGCACACAAAATAAAGCTAAAATTAGCATTTTATTTAATTATTTTTATCGTCGTTTATTTTTATTTTTATTTATTTTTTGTTGTTGAAAATGTTGTTGTTGTTATTATTATTATTATTATTATTATTATTATTTCATTTTTATTATTTTCATTTACTTTCTTGTTGAAATGAGGTTATGACACATCTACAACACAATCTGTACCAAAAACTAATTTCAAATTAGTGAGGATTAAGGAGGTTTCCACGGCTGGGTATAGTGGAGTGTGAGGATTGGGTGGCGGGGGTTAGGTAGTCATATGGTTTGCATTAGTGTGGACAGTGTGGTTAACTAGAAATGAAAGACTATTCCACAATGGGGATGTCAACACGGACAAGATGTTTGACCTTATTCAAGTTTGATCTTTTCGTTGGCTTAAGTGTGAAAGCTTCCATTCTTATCTTTTGGATTGGTTTCTTAAACTCAGGTCTTGTTGCAAGCAAGAAGAGCATTTTGTTTTGCTATCCCCTCACAATGTACAATTAATATATGAGTTGAGTACCCCTTGTACTCAATATTAATAAATTCTTTTACCTTTTACCTTTCAAAAAAAAAAAAAAAATAGAGAATTGGGTGGCAGTGAAGACTTGGTAGTTGGTGAAGGAAGAGCAAGGGTGGTATGATATGTGAGGCGGAAGCTGATAAACAAAGAGGATAATGGAGGGTGGTGGCCCCTTGTATTTTTTCGGGTGAGAATGGAGAAAATAGTGGAAGAGTGTGAGTCAAGAAAAGGAGATCCTGGTGAAGAAGATTGCAGAGATAGGCCCGTTTAATGTAGTGATATTGTCTAAATTGCTACATAATAACATTTTGTATTTTATTTTTTTCTGAAATTACGAACATTAACTTATTATCAAAAAATTTATATTAAAATTAATATACAAAATATCCTAATCAAACAAAATAATTAAAAGTTTATTATGCCTTTGTTTAAAAAATTTATAATTTAATCATATCCTTGGCATGGCAGTAAAAACCTAACCACCCCGCATGAAAAAGTTTCTCCCTCTCTGTCTCCTTTTCTCTATTGGAAGTCTCCCTCCCCCCTTCCTTTCATCAATCATTTACTCATTCTTTTGTTTTCTCATCATTCGAAGGTTTGGTTTGCTGTGGGTGGATTGTTTGCCAGCAAGAAGACAGTTTCAAAAGGGATAGCGAGGTGTGACGTGCCCTAAGGTAGAGATCTATAGGTGACTTCCTGGTTCGTCCATCTGTCCTTTACCATCTTGGGTTCAAGGTTTTCTTAGTGGTAGTGGATACTAGGTTGTGTGATGAATAAAGGTTGCTAGGGTTGTTCTTGAATAACGATTGTATAGGGGACCGAGTAAAGGTGCTACAACAAAGATGGCGAAGGTGCAGAAAGTCGAAGATTTGGAATTGGTTTACCGAAAATGAAGGTGAAATGGGGTTGGTTTTGACAATAAGAGAGATCACGTTCATTCCTAACCTTGTCAATTAACTGTGAATGTTTTGGATGGAGGGGAATCTACTTTCCACTAGGATAATTGCTCTATGAAGATGGTAGGACTATTAGTGGGTAAAAACTATTGTTAGCCCAAGTACTTATTCACTTTATGAAGAACTATTAATGGGTGGAGATTGTTAGTAGTCTAAGTATTTACCCACCGTAAGATGCTTGTGAAGTAGGTAAAATTGTAAAATATCTAATGACGCATGATGCTTATGGTGACTTTTATTCTATATTATTAGTCTTTACTACAAAAAATTTATCTTTTGCGATGCCGTTTGTTACAATGGATTGCATTGAATAAAGGCATTACAATTGATAGGTTTTTTTTTTTTTTTAGTGCTTATTTATGCCCATGATATAGAGATTTAGATGTAATCTTTATATTTGATTTAAAAAAAGTCTCTATTTTCATAAAAAAAAAAGAATATAATTTTTACTTTGTTAAAAATATATAGAAAGGAGAAGTGTGTGATTCATACTTGTATATTTTATGTATTTATTATTGTTACAAAATTAATTATTTAAATAATAAAAATATAAAAAAATATACTTAACTACTCTTAATATTTTTATTAATAATTTAATATTAAACAATAATTACTAAACGTTATATGATCGAATAATTATAAAAATCAATATCTGTTATTTACTTCTTTCTTTTTATTATTTATTAGTTGTTTTTCTCTAATCATTATTTATTACTCATTACTGTTATTCATTATGCACTATTAATTATTCATTATTAACTACTTTACTGTTATTAATTATTCACTATTAACTACTTTTTACTTGCTATCTGTTGAATATTTACTATTACACCAAATATGTCCATGGAGTCATATGGGCGTTCGGGAGAGAGAGAGTCCCCGGTCTAAATAGCCAAAATGGAGAACGGTCCCCAATGAGAAGTCCCCATGTATATGAAGAGAATATTTTAAGAAGTTATGAGATTTGGTTTGCAATTGGATCAGGTCCATCAGGCTAAGTGTTTTTGTTTGGTTTGGGTTTTTAACAAGCTTCGCATCTTGAGCTTGAAAGCATGGGTTGCTAGACTTCCTTTTGTTTCTTTCTTTTCTTTCTCCAGGCTGCATGACGTTGGATTGGTGCTTGGACTTCCACCAAGAGTTCAATCAAACCTCAATTGCATTTTTTTTTTCAAATTAATCCTCTTATTTTCAAGTTATGTTATCGAGTCCTCTTTCTATTGTTTTTGTTTCTCTTTTTTTTTTTTTTTCTCACCTTGCATTTTATTTTATATTTTTGCAAATAACTCATGAACAAGATAAAATAAAAAAAAATTAAAATTTCATTTAAAAACAGTTTTTTGTTATCATTTTTTGTATTTTTTTGTTTTTTATTTTTTGCTTTTTTTTTGGGACTTCTATACTTATATTTTTTTGAGAATTTTTTATTTTTTATATTTTAAAAAAGATTTCAAAAATAAAAATTTGATGAATAATTGGGTTATGATAAGGGGCGAACCCTTGTTTAACCTTTCTAGAAAATATCTAATATGGAATTTGGTTTCATGCCCATCATGCAATGCATTCATCAGCGACAAAGGCAGTAAATTATGTTCGGTGGACAAAATTTCTTAATGAGTATTTATGTTTTAAGTATATTTAAACAAATCAATTCATTTTCTTCAATTTTCTCCCCTTTCTCTTAAAGAAAGATTCAATTGTAATTCTTTTTCCAGTTAATATTTTTTGAACAAAAACAAGAAATAAATACATTTATTTAAACAAGAGAACAAAAACATCATGGGAGCACTTTCTAATATTGAATGAATCATTTTTATTGTTAATACTAATTCTTCCCTCCTCTTCTCTTTTCCTCCATTTCCTTACCTTTACTTTCCTTTTGTTTACTAATTGTTATCCAAATAAACCCTAATCAATAATTAATCGTAGTTATCATCTGAATTTACCTCTAAACTATATATGTATTTCAGGGTGACAAGGTAATGAAAGAAATCAAAGACCATCAAACAAAGTCAGCTTCTTAATCTAATTTTACTAAATGAAAGTTAACCATGAGAGAAAGAGGTCCATATATATTCTGTACAAATTATTTTTAGCAGTTTCTAACACAAAAATGTAGGTTCTCTTTTTCTTTTTTTTAGTGGACAAGATGCCCCCAATTAACTTATACACATCTCGAAACTAATTTTTCCTTAGTTCGATCAAAGGTAAATTATCGATGTTGAGATTAAGAAATTTATAAAAAATTACTACCTCGTTGACCTCTTCACAAAATCCAACCTATGGAACCCTTACGTAGCAATAACAAAAATAATTTGATCCAAGAGCAATTTAACAACACACCAACATAACGTAGGAGAAATATGCCAGGAGGCTGTACCTAAACCAAATTTGTCATTAAGTCTTCAGAATAGTTAGAAGTTTTCTCTGCGCTAATAATCATCATTCCTATCATCTTCAAAACATTCTTAACGTTTCCTTTCTAAATTCTTCTAGAATCTTAGTCCCTTACATTTCTACACGGCATGATGCATCTCCTTTTCCTTGAGAATTTCACTTAACGGCTTTGGACCCTCAAAATCTACCGTAAGTTTTCCACCATTTTCTTCGGCTCTCTTCTTCTCTTCTTTAATCTGGGCAAGGCTCTTAGGTCCTGAAAAAGCAACATATGCTTCAGGAGATCTCCTCTTCCTTGAAACCTCGTATGAACTGGACTGCCGTTTAGCCATCCTTTTTTCCCTATAATGCTGCCTAGAGATACTAGAGTCCATGAGCCTGTGCCAGCCACGCTGTTCATAGCCATTTGAAAAATTACCATTGTTTACAAGTGATTCAATTTCCCCTTGTGATGCCAATCTTCCATGCAATCGCTGAGATATGGGTACACTGTGCCTTTGACGCCTTCCCTGAATTCGACCAATCAGACGAGAAGATTCATGCCGTCTTGATAAATGGCTAGTTGGACGTTCATCAATTCCTTTGCGCACCATCAAATGCTCCCTAAGGTCCATACCAATCCGTACATCAATTGGCAGTTCATATGGCAAGAGTTTTCTTCTCTTTTGGGAAAATACTGAATCCGGTATTCTCTCTCTCAAGTGGCCAGATGGTCTTCTAACATTATCAAAAACATGCTCATTATCTAAGTGATCATAAGTATCATACACATCCTGATCATAACCCAAGAAACCCTCCCTGTGCTCCCCATCAAGGGCAAGCAAATACTCTGAGTCATCCTCATAATCCAAATTCTCCATTTTGTTATTCACAAGAACATCAAAACCTGGGGACAAATCCAATCGCTCTTCTGGTTCAGCATGATCATCGACTTGATCTTCTGAACTCTGATCTGTGAACATATTAGATTTTATTTGAGTAATGCTTTCTGCTCGAAGCAAGGAAATTGACTTAACTCTAGCAGCTTCTTCAAATTTGGACTCAGAAATCTGCGGAGAGATACTTTTCTGTGGCATATTTATAAAGGCTGATTTCTGAAAGTCCTGCATTTGAACGTTCTTGTCCATAGTTGGTTTTTGAGCAGTTGCAGACTGATTGTATTTTGTTTCAGTTGGAGCTGATCCATTGTCGTTTTTTCCTGTGGTTAACTTATTTTCTGAAGGTAGGGCTTCAAGCCGCAAAGGTTTCCCTGCTGCCGAGCTACCATCAGGACCATGCAAAAAAGGGCATCTGTCACCTTTATTGCAGTAACCATTGAAGTAAAAAAAACAAGGAGTGCCAGTCTTATTCACTGGTGTAGAACTCTGGTACTTAGATGTAGTAGATTCAGCTGGCTGTTGAGAAGGCCCATCCAATGGCTGCAAAAATTGAACTTAGCTTATTAAGTGCATCAAACACCAAGACCAATGAACATAAAACTTTGAAAATAACCTGCATATACCAGTAACTAGTTCAAAAACAAGTAAAGGAGGTTTCTGAGCTGTTAAAAAAAAAATGAAGAGAAATGCACCAAGCCACCAACATGAAAAATTGACTACAGATCTTTGCTAAAAATAGACCATAGATGCTGAATGCCAACACTGGTTGCTATGATATTTCAATGCCCACCCTTTTCCCATCATTGTCTCTAATGCTCTCCATTGCCTGTCCTATTTAGCCAAGAAACATGAAATCTAAGATTGTAGATTTGTAGATTTTCCCAAGACTTGTGAAATCAACAATTAGTTACATTAGTCTTTCTATATCCTCCAGATTTGTCCTTAACTGAAATCATATCAACAATATAGGAAGCATAAAGTTCTTCAGATTTTCTTCTTATTATAATGACCATCACGTAGTTTAGGTAGTATTGTGGTCTTTGAATAACTTACAGTTAAAGTTGTACACTATAAATCTAGTGAAAAAGGCCCATGGAACTCTAAAATGTATCTTATATGGACACCAACTCCAAGAACCTAGAAGAACTGCCTGAGGTGAAAAGTAAAAATAAAATAGAAAAAAAAAAAGAAAAATGGGTCATTAATTAATCATTGTCCCACCAACCAGAGTAATGCCTGGGATAGCTGACTTCCAGTTGAGTAGAAAAAGGCCATACCCTATATATTCTTTTAGGAGTTCCGAAAATCACAGCCTAGATATCTTTTTCTCTTTTGGTCAGAAAGGGCAAAGGATTTTATTAAGGAGGTACAAGAGGTACGTCAACCTGTTACATCCTTGTTTTTAAAAACCTTCAACCTGAAAAATTATATATCTAGAGATCCAAAGAAAAACAGCTAGAATAGTTTTATAAAAATCCTTATAAAAGCCATAATCAAGGCTTCATTTGTCTGTGTTGTGTTGTGTTGCATTGTAACTGTAGGTTTTTGTCTTTTACCATCCCAAAATATATAAGATATTAATTAAAATTAGTAAAAGCATATAGAAATTAATTAAAATTAAATAAGAATTTTAAATTTACATTTTTTGATAAGGTGCTGTCTGAAAAAGGTTACAAAAGAAGCCCAAGTCTAACAACAGTCTAGATGTCGTACTACCTAGTCTCATAATGTTACATCATCAAGCCATAATCACACTACTCTCGTATAGTTATAACATTCTAAAATCAAGAATGGAACACAGGGCATATGACCGTGAACTAATTGAACCATTCTTAACTAAACACCATTTATCAACAGAGAACAATATATTCTCAACTTTCTCCTACAATCAGAACAAAGCACATTGTGGCATGGTAGTATTCACATAAAACAAGAATCAACAAGGTAATTTGGATCTTTCAGATAAGTTCAGTGTACAAGTATTGACGCATGGTAGCAGCGGTTGGTTTGATAGAGGTAAAAGGAATGAAGAAGAAAAGGGGTAAACATATTATCAGATGGTTAAAATTTCAAAACTATGAAGTTACAACCTGACATTGTGTACAATTAAGAAAAAGGATTCACATGGCTAACCCTTTCAGTTTGAGACCAGACTTTCTATTGAATTTTAAGAACACAAATTCTAATCACAAAAACCTTCTAGCATCATATATTTGTGGTGGTACCTTACTGTACACTTTTCTCTCCTAACGAGATGACTTGCAATCTGTTGGTATATGGGAGTTTGAGTTTTTCTAACATATGACTCATCAGAATCTGAATGGTAGAAAATAAAAATCATAGGACAGGACATTCATTGTGCAGAAGACTAAATGAAGACCATATGAATTCCATGAAACAACCTTAACCCACAAAGTCACTTTAACAATCACCTGAAATTGCAAACTGGGTAAACATGATTGGGCCACCTGCCATATAGATGTAATGTGACTCGTCACAAGTGATTGGCATTAAAGTTAACATATTTAAAATTCTAAATTGTGACCAATCACATTAAATCTTGTGTCAAATGGCCTAATCATGTGGAGAGTATTAGAGAGAGTGCCCTTATCACTCCTCTAAGATCAACATTCTAAAATTGAACATGCATGTTATATCATAAGCTAGGTTCAAAACAAACAAAAGAAGAAAGAGCTTACGGGATGCCGAAAAGCACATGTTGGATTAACACAGTTCCCAGAGAACCAGTACCAGCAGTCCCTTGGGTTGAGCCTAGCCTTCTCACTATGCCGATACTCACACTCGATTCCCTAAAAGAAAAAGGAAAGAGCATGACTATTATTTCCTTTACCCTCCACCACAGATAATATCAGATCATTGTAAAACACAGAACCAGAGAACAATTAAACCCGAAGGATCAAATCTTTCACAATCTTAACAAAACACATTACACACAAACACGGGCGAGGCGTAAAACAAGCACTAAAAAACAAAACTACAATTTCACTCAAGGCCGGCTTTGCACGGAATATACTATATCCATGGGATAGATTCAATTTAGATTATTACCAATTAAAACAACACTACGCTTCCTAATTCCCTATACCAATTAGGATTAAATCAAAATTATACAATTCTTCTGTCACACAAAACCAACCACTCAAAGTAAAAGAGGAAAAAAAAAAAAAAGAATAAGCAAATATTGAATTCAGGGTGAGAAATTTTACTACTTTTTCTTCCATGCAAACTCTAGAATCCCAAGATCCCTCAAATGCCGGTGAGAGCATGACATTCTAACTGGAAACCGAAAAAAGCACCAGAAACTCGCAACTCGAATATACAAAAATACACTAAAGAAAGCAAACAACAAGAAAAACGATATGCACAAAGAAAAAAAAAAAAAGGAAGCTACTCTGAATGGTTTGGAACCTTCTTGCAGGTAAGAGGAGAAGCCAAGAAATAGACGCAATCCGTGTTTCGCTTCTGCAATTCTTCCTCCATGTCTGGCATGCGAAGGAAGGAGCTCTGGCACTGTAGAAAGAGAAAGAGCAAACGAAAGGGGAAAAGAGAGATCAAGAGGAGTAGATGAGTGTTCATGAATCGGGCTCACATGGCAGAGTGATTAGGGTTAATTCCAACATAGCCATGGTTCGGATGGTCAGAAGAAAAGGGCATTTGCCACTCAGGCACTCATTTCATGCGGCAGGCTTCCAGACCAAATGGTTGACTGAGCTTTCCTTATTTGCCCTCCATCTTTTATCACTACCGATCTAACTGCCTTTTGGCATGACTT